CGCGCCCCGAGCCGCAGCCTGGCCCCTCGCCTGCAGGACGGGGAGCCCAGCTCAGGGGAGGCATCAGCCTGGCTGCAGGGGCAGAGCTCCAGTGCACTGATCCATCCTCAGCTGCTCTGTAATGCCTTTCTTCCAAGTTTTGGGGTTTTTTTTAATGTGTTAGGACTTTTAGTATAAATTCAGGTCCTCAAGGAAAAGCCCTGCACCCCCTCCTCCCAGCTGGAGCCTTTAGCCCTTGTGGAACCCCAGCCTGCTGCATTAGAACGGGAGCAAAACCCATCACCCCAACCCCACTGCAGCCATCTGAAAACAGGATTTGATTTTAGCCCCTCAACCTCCATGTGTGCATCTGAACTTTGATGGGGTGAGATTATTTTTTCTCAAAGAGAAAAATTGCACAGGAAAGATTTCCCATCCCATCAGATTAGTTAGATCTGCAGCCTGGGAGCATGAGGGGTGGCTGGACTCTGGTCCCTTCTGTTAAGGACAGCAAGGGCTTGGGGACAGGGTTCATCCAGCTCCCCCTCCTCTCCTCTCTGGTCAGTTTGGGAGCCCTCTTTCACTGAGGCCTGAGAGGTGATGGGGACAAGGACCGTGCCCCCCAGGGTGCCCGTACTCACCTTCCTCACCGGTCGGGCAGGAGCAGGTGTAGCTGCCCACCGTGTTGGTGCAGGTGGCGTTCCCCGGGCACACCATCCCCTGCGTGCACTCGTCGATATCTGTGGAGGCAATGCAGCATGGCACCGGGAGGAACACCTCAGCCAGGGTCCCATGGGCACCATGGCAAGCCCTTGTCACCTGCGCAGTGCCGCCCGTCACCGGTCAGGCCAGCTGGGCAGGGGCCGCAGCCGGCATGTGAGTCGCAGCCCACGCCAGGGAAGCATCCCTGGGTGCAGGGGTCCGGGGGGTCCTGGCAGAAGGGACCCGAGTAGCCGCCCTCGCATCTGCAGGCTGCCAGCTGGGAAGGGGACAGTGACACTGGCTTAGAGGACATGAGGAGGATGGGTGGACAGAGAAGAGAGCTGGCACATGGGGACAGGCAGGGTGTGGCACCAGAGGGGCTTTTGGGCACCCTACCTGCAGAGAGGAGCCCCCGAGGGTGACGGTGTCACTGTAGTCACACTCCTGGCTGCTGCTGCAGCTGCAAAGAGTGAAGTGGAGCTGGAGGAGGGCGGAGAGGTTGTTGGACCCCACAGCTTCCAGGTTGATGGTGAATGGGGCTGTCCCGTGGGGCTCCCACGTCAGGGTGCCGCTTTCTGCCAGAGGAGAGCTGGAAATTAGAGGAGGCGGCAGACGAAAGGGGCTGGGTGGCTGGTGTCCCCCCCATCCCATCCCATCCCATCCCAGCTGCCCCATCTCTCCTTCCTTACCTGTTATGTTGAGCTCTGGTGAGAGGTGGGGGACGAAGCGTGCGCCCACCCCCACGGCACGGTACTGCCTCCTGACCCTCTCTGTCCTGAAAGCCGTGAGTGATGCATCACCGGTGATGACAGGAGGGAAGGCATCTGAGGAAAGAGCAGCCCAGCACACAGCTGGTTGTTTGCTATGTGTCCATGCACCCCTGGGCTCTGGTCCCTCCCCAGGAAGATGCTGCCATGACTGCCCACTGACAAGTCCCTCATGTTGCACAGCATGGTGGCATCTCCCAGGCTTGGAAACCAGCTGGCCGGGCAATGCAGCTCCAAGACCTTGGTGGCTTCTCTCCTGCCTCACATGGAGCAAGAGAGCCGTGGGAGGGAGCAGGGCACTGCCCGGTCACCCAAGCTGTGCCCTCTCGGAGGCGAGGATCTGCTCCACTTACTGAGCACTGCCTTCTTCTGCTGGAAGTCAGCTGCGAGGCTCTGGGTGGCCAGGCCCAGGGCCATGTCCCCTGTGCTCAGAGAATCGAAGATGCACTCCTTGCTGCCGCGGCACTGCGAGGCTGCCAGCTGGTACTGGCTTTCGTTCTCCTGCCGCAGCCAAGACAAGAAGATGGGTGTGAAGTTCATTAGCCGTGAGTCCAAAGGCTGAGCAAACAGGCTGTGCTCTCCTACAGCCCCTGTAACAGAGCAAACCGTGGGCAAAGCCTTGGGTTTTAAGGTTTGCTATATTTTAGGGCTCATTTTCTCGGAGCAGGGAGGAGATCAAAGGGCTTCACTTGCATCACTTTTGCCCAGGCAAGTGTCTAAATATCTCCAGCCAAAACATGGCCAGAAGGTGCAGGATTGTCAAGGTGGATCCCAAGCTTAGACTTACAGGTCATCCCATAGCTGTAGATCTCCTCCTCACTGCTGTTCACAGGGATGCTGGTACCGTTTGGCATCTGGAAGTCATCTGTGGGGTCGTGGTCCCATACACCTGGTGGAGCATCACCAGAGGACTGGAGTCCCCCATGCTGGGGTTGACCTCCTCTCTAGTGCTGGCCAGTGTTTAGTTTAGACCCAGGGGTCCCGGCCCTCACAAGCACATTCCCCCAGCATTGGACAGCCTGCTTTGGGTTGGGAAGGGGACTCTGCCCCCCGGCTCTGCAGCAGTGCCAGAAGTCCTCACCCAGGAGGCCCTTGGTGCCATTGTGGTACCGATCGGGCAGGCTGCAGACCACGCTGAGGATCCCAGAGGCAGCTGAGATGGCGATGGCGATGGCCCCATCGAAGATGGCTGTGACAGAGTAGTCGTTGACCAGCAGGACACCAGGGCTGTAGTACACCTCAGCATCCATGTCTGCAAGAGAAGGGGGGCACAGAGGGAAAGACCACGCAAGGCTGGGGTCTGAAACAATGCTCCTGAATTTGGGGAGGGGAGTGCTCCCTATCCACCCCAGCTGAGTCAGGGTGCAGGTGGGAGATGTTTGCTGGAGCTCAGGATGGCTGCACTTGTGCTGGGCAGAACTGGGCCCCGTGGGATGGGGACACCCCTTGTCCCCTACAGGTACATGTAACATTTAACAGAACATCCTGCTCACCTTGGGAATAGGAAAACTGGATGGTTTCATTGTTCAGGAGGACTTGGATGTCACCCTGGCTCCCCAAGGCCCACTCAACCTGCAAATCATGGTGGATGTCCCAGTCATCCCCTCTGCTCCTCCCTCCTTGCTGTCCCCCCATGCTGGGGACACGTGAGATAAACCCCGTCCTCCTCCAGCCCCAGCAGAGAGGCTCAGCCCCGGGGTCGTGTTGGCCTGCTCTTCACCCCAGCAAACACACAATAACGCAGCTTTGATGGTTGAGCAGAAGAGGATGGTGAGCTGCCCCCCACCACCGCTGGAATGGGGCACGCAGAGACCACCACTGCTGCTCAGCTGACCATGGCAGGGTGGGGAGCTGTGCCGGGGGGGGGCCAGGCTCTGACTCCCCTCCTCATGCTGCTCCAGGGCTGCTTCTGGTGACACTGGGAGATTTTACTTACAGAAACAGGTGTGAGGAGCAATTCTGCAAAGCAAGGAAGAGTGCGTGCTTGTGCTAACGTGTCTGGAGGAGACAAACGGTCAGGGCAAAGGGTGTGCAATGAGGAGGGTGGAGCAGACCGTGTTCCTGCAGAGCTCCAGGCTCTTGATGGCTTGCTTGCAAGAGGTGTCAGAGCTGTGGCTCATTAGTCTCAGACCAACCCACTGCTGTTATCACTTTGTAGGGGTCATGGAAGGTAGCAGGGAGAGGACAGGGGATGCTCCTCGGCTCCTGGCCACTTGTAGATGATGCAGAGGTGATGCCCAACCTGCCAGAGGGGTCTGTCCCATTAGATGCTCAAACTGGTACCTGAGATGCTCCTACTCACTGTTGTGGTGGTGGCGGAGATGTACTGGGCAGCAAAGGCCACAAAGTTGGTGGCCTGGGCTGTGCCGGTCCGGGCTGTGCGCCCATGCAGCACGAAGCTGGTCCAGGCATCGCTGGCCAGCAGCAGGACAAAGTCCCCCAGCCCGTTGAAGGTGTAGGTGAGTCCATCCAGGGTGGTGAGGTGGGGGTCCCCGAAGGCACTGGCTGGGGTCCAAAGGAGACAGAGCCGTTTTGGTGGGAGGAAGAAAAGCAAATACTGGTGTCATTGCATGGAGGAGAGCAGCTCCCCGTGCGCTGGGCTCAGCAGTCCCCACAGGGACGCTGCAAAGAGTGGTCAATGCATGGTGTCCACATGTGGCCGTGCCACCCACTCAGCTCCCTGGCAGAGGAGGCAGAGCCCTGGGGACTCACCGGGGGTGGGTGGCACGTATCCCTCGCAGCCGACCCTGGGTCTCTTCTCAGCAAACCTGGTGCAGAACAGGGGCTTCTCCACGCGCCGGCAGCACCAGTCAAACGCCTCCAGCTCCCCATCTGCAGAGGAAGGGGCCAGTACTGGGGGGAGTCTGGGTCCCCTCTGTGTTTGCAGACCACTTGTGCTCGGGGTGTTTTAGGGTGAGGGAGTGCTGGTGCCTGCTTACCATCACTGGGCTGGATGGGGAGGCTCCATGCCCTCTCCTGCCAGCCTTCCAGCAAGCTCCCACCCTGGTACAGACACCGCACCCCAGCTCCGGCCGGGCTGGGGGATGCCATGCGCAGCATCCTCACGGAGGCATCT